GCTAAAATCAAAAACACAAGAAACAGCAAGTGTTGGTGAAGATGTGGAGAAAAAAGAACCCTCGTACACTGTTGGTGGGAATGCAAACTGGTGCAACCACTGTGGAAAACAAGGTGGAAGTTCCTCAAAAAATTAAAAATAGAACTACCCTTTGATCCAGTAATTGCAGCACCAGGTATTTACCATAAAAATACAGAAACACTAATTCAAAGGGATACATGCCACCCTATGTTTATTACAGCATTATTTGCAATAGCCAAATTATGGAAGCAGCCCAAGTACCCATCCATAGCTGAATAAAGGAGATGTGGTATATACACACACACACATACACACACACACACATAAACATACCATGGAATATTATTCAGACAAAAAAATGTATGAAATTGAAATTTACAACAAATGGATGGAGATAGAGAATATAATGCTAAGCGAAATAAGTCAGTCAGAGAAAGACAAATACTATACAATTTCACTCGTATGTGGAATTTAAGAAACAAAACAAATGAACAAAAGAAAAAAAAAGACGAGAGAAAGAGAGACAAATCAAAAAGTAGACTCTTAACTATTGAGAACAGACTGGCGACAGAGGCGACAAGGATGGGGGGATGGGTGAAATAGGTGGAGGGGATTAAATGCACACTTATCATGATGAGCACTGAGTAATATACAGAACAGTTGAATCACTACATTGTACAGCTGCAACTAATATAATACTGTATGTTAACTATACTGGAATTAAAATAAAACTTAAAAACTTAATAAAAATAAAATAAAATAATTAAATTTTTTAAAAGCAAAACATATTTTTACTTTAAAATCAAGAAATCTCATTCCTGGGTATTTACCCAAGAGTAATGAAAACATATGTCCATACAGAGACTTGTACACAATTATTCATAGCAACATTATTTATAATAACATTATTTAGATTGGAAACAATCTAAATGTCTATCAATTATTGAATGGAAAAACAAACTGTGCTGTATCCATACTATGAAATACTGCTCAGCAATAAGATAGAGCCAAATATAAACATAAGCAACATCATGAATACATGTCAAAAACATAAATATGTCCCTACCCCTTGCCTATTCACTACCTTCTCTGTCTCTTCAAACTCACAATAATCTATCCTATCTCACTGGCAACTCATGATCTTTCTCCCTATTTTATTAGGAAAACAAAATTATTTACAAGCCCCCACTACCATATCTACTCACCCATCTCTGTCTATACCTACATACTCTGCCTTCTCTCCTGATATCGTAGATAAGGGGACAGTAAACTGATGCACAGGGCACTGGAACACACCAACATCCATTCAATTATGTACTGTCAACTCCTATTGTTTAGGAGTTGCAACAAAAACCATATGGCCCACAAACATGGACTATTTACTATCAGGCCTTAACAGAAGGAGTTTGCTGATCCCTGGGACAAATCCACTTTGTCCTAGCAAAGGCCAATCTGTCTACCAGATCTCATCCCCTCTCACTTCTCAGGGACTCTGCTCCTGTACTTCTTCCATCTCTCATTTGTTCCTTTGTTAGTGTTTGTTTTCCACCAAAAATAAACATACTGTGATTTTGTCCACCTTAAAAACAAAAACCAGAAACCTCTCAACTCCTATTCCCACCCCAGTTATTTCCTTATTCTCTTTTTCTTTTTACAGTTAACAATCTCCAATGGGTTGTTTATACCGGATGCCAATAGTTCCTCCCCTCCTGTTCTCTCTTGAAGTCACTCCAACCAAGCTTTCCTCTTGTCACTCTATGGAAACTGTCCTTATCATGGACACCAGTGACTTCCCCAGGTTGCTGAATCCAATGACAATATTTAGCCCCAAACTCACTTGGTTTATAAGCAGCTTGACTGATCACTCCCTTCACCTAGAAATGCTTTCTCCATTTGGCTCCCAGGAACCTACATCATGCTGGTTGTTACTCATCTTCTCAGTCTCAAAGGTTGAGTTGTTAGATGTCTTCTGTACCTGTACTCCAGTCTCATCACTTTAAAGACAAATATAAACATAAGCAACTTCAGATAAATCTGAAGTTCTTACTACGAGCCTTGATCTCTCCTAGAAACCCCAGACCTGTATATCCAACTGACTACCTGATAACACTGCCTAAAAGATATCTCGGACTTAACATGTCCAAAAAGAAGCTCCTAGTCTGCCCATCTTCTCAAACCTACTTTACACGAAGCTTTTCCCATCTAATTTAGTGGCAGCTTCATCTTCCTGGATTCTCAGCCAGAAAAACCTTTGAAGTCAGCTTTGAGTCTGCTTTCTTAAATCCTGCATATAACACATTTACAAAACTCTTTATCTCTACCATATCCATCAGCTATTTGTGAGCATCTCTACCCCCCTGGCAATACTGTGATTGTTTCACCTGGACTATTATAGCTTCCTAACTGCTTTCCTTGCTTCCCACCCAAGCCTCCTTTTAGTGGGTTCTACACAAAGCAGGTAAGGAGAATCTGTTAAAATTTAAAGCAGATCATGTGCAAAAGCCCTCAAGGGCTTCCCATTTCACTCGGAATAAAACCCAAAATCTTCAGAATGCCCCCTTAGGAGATGTTATATGGTCTCCTCACCATTGTTCTCTTTCTGATCTCATCTACTAATCATTCTTTCACTCATTCTGCTCCAGCCACATTGGCCTTGGCAGTCCCAAAATATTCCAAGCATGTTCCTGCCTCAGGAATGCTGGCCTTGATGATCACTATCCTGGCTCATTCTTTCCTAGATATCCACAGTGATTCATTTCTTCACCTCCATCACATTTTTATCCAATATCACTTCTCTCTGAGCAATTCCTGACAAGCAGGCTGCTGTCCCTGAACTCTCTGTCCCCACATCATCTTTCCACCCACTCCCTGGGCATTAGGAACTTTTTTTTAACTGAAGTGTGGTTGACATACAATGTTATATTAGTTTTAGGTGTACAACACAATGATTCCACAATTTTATACATTGCTCAATGCTCATAATGATTAAATGTAGCCGTCACCACTCACCACACCCTGTTATTACAATGTTATTGACTATATTCCCTATGCTGTACTTCTCATCATCATGACTTATTTGTTCTACAACTGGAAGTTATATGTCATTATCTTATATATTACATATTGTACTTATTTGGTGTCTCTTTCTTTCCAAGAAAAAATACACTCATTGAGGCTTAGGGTTTTCTTTTTGTTTTATCTATTTCATTAACTATCTATTTGCTATTTATGTTAACTCTATGCCTATCTTCTTGAATATTGCTTAGGACGTAGTTGGTGCACAATAAATACTTGCTGAATGAATCAAATGTGGAAAAGTGCTTTATAAACTATAATGTAATGTATAAATGAGGCATATTATTAACTCCTGAATGTGTAATAAGCACTCTCCACTCATATTTTCAATCCTCCAATGAACCCTTTGAGTATTTTTTCATCCCTACTGACATTTTAACAGAGTATGTTTAAAGAGGTTAGATCTGTTTGTCTAAATTGTCACAACTAATAAGCAGAGAACAGGAATTCAAATCCAGATTTAACTGAAGAGACTGACTTTAAACCATTAAACACATTTGTTTCATACAACAGTTCTACTGGATGTTAAGTGGACAGTTTAGGGACTTCATGACAGAAGTCCTGTAATAGAAAGGGATTTACAAAGAAAAATCCTTCAAGAAGATGTCAGGGATTGAAATGTCTCTAGAGTACTCTTGGAAGCCTGACATTTCAATTTTTATCACTGTGTAAGAGTACAATATTACTAATAAGCAAAAAAATTAACTATTTGGGGGAAATGCATGACATTTTTGACAAGTCTAAGGAAGGATACAACTAGTTTTTTAGGAGTTTTTTTTCTCAGTGCAGTATACTACAGAGTTCACTCTCATCCCCTAAAGGAGTTAATCAGTGGATTGTCATTGTCTTCATTCTAGATACATAACAATTAGGACGAAATTTCCCACATTTCTGGTTATTAAGATGTAGATTTGGTCTCTGTGGCTCTTATTAAATATAAACCATCAAATTTCTTATCCAGGTAAAACTGTCATTTTCATTGCTTCTTCCTGGTTGCCTACTTTTTAAAATCTGTATTTCATTTAATTCCCCCAATATGTCAGGAGGGAGATTTGCACAGGGTCTTTTCTATGGAAATAACAAATCAAATGCTGCAACCAATCAGTCACTAAGAGGTCAGATATCCCACAGCCTTACCTATATGAGTTCCAGGTAATATTCAGAAAACACACACACATATATTCACACAGTAATGAAACATTTTAAAACACTCTAAACAATCAAAATTTGTTGTAACAATGTCCTTATTTTTAAGTTTATTCACTTCATCCATTAGAAGAGCTCTTGATTATTTCATGAAGCAAAGAATTTTTCACCCCTATATACACACAATTTTCAAGACTGGCTGATGCTGTTTCTGTGTGACAGAGCATTAAAAATAACAAATGGGGGAGCACGGATAACCAGCTCTTCTTCTCCCTAGCCACTCCTGATGACAGAGCACACAATAATTGATGTTTAACAAAATGACATGAAGTCATGTTTAAAAAGATACATTGTACCACATATTCCCTGACAATGAGTATGAGATAGTAGACAATATTATTTAGAAAGATTCCCATCATAATAGTTCTGTGTTTAAGTTTGGAACTATTGGGGATTTTAGACTTATAGTTTTCTGTGAAAATTACTTAGTAATAATTATTGCATGAAAGTCAAAGTAGGATAGATTAACTGTTTAAAATACCCAAAGATATGAAAAGAAAAAAACTTAGTCTAATTATTGAGTGCGTAAACATTGAGAAAATCTAGTTCAATGTCAAGTTTTGAAGAAAGTCTAAAAACAGACGAGAGAAAGGTTGCCTTCAATTCTAAAAGTCTGTTTTAAAATAGTTGATTATATAGCAAGTTATGCAAGGACATAACATGTTCCCGACATGAGAAAGAAGCATGGAATACTTTACCCAGGGGCACTCTGGCAGCACTTGCATCTGGGTTGATCCAGAAGGAGAGCCAGGAGAGAACCACTATCAGCAGGGTTGGGGCATAGACCCCCATCATGTAAAAACCGACCTGCCTCCTCAGGGTGAAGATGACTTCCACACAGGTGTAGTACCCTTTCAGAAACAAACTTATGTTAGAAAAAGGAGGGACTCATCTACCTACAACAGCAAAAACCAATAGTGTACCTATAAATTGTAAGTCACTTCTATCTGAGGCAGTTTCACAAAGTAAATTCCACAAAAAGAGTTTTTTCCCTATAAATATATAATTTATTTGATGTAAAAGGTTGACATGATGGGACCCATCTCACCTGACCTTTCACAACTTTATTATGACGTTGAGAAATAGATACCACATGCTGCTCCACTATGTCAGTGTCTCAGCTTTTAAGTCTTTGTTCAGGGAATTGGCAATGCACTTAAACTTTTCATTATCCATGGGCACTCTCAGAGCAATTGATCTAAAGGAGTCATATAGGGAGCAGTAAATCAAAGTGGAACAAGTCTAAAAAGAAACATTCCACGACTATATATTGTCAGTATAATTTTTCAGCTACCTGTATCACTTCTTATCTAGAAAGCATAGCAGTCTACGATAACTCCTATGCATATTTAAGCCTTAAAAAATTAAGTGTATTAGAAGTAAATCTTAGCAAGGATAAGAAATACATGTTTTCATTCTATAGAGATAAAAGATTATAAAGAGTAGATATCTGATATTCCTCTCAATTCTCTCCCTTCCTCCACTCCAGGCCCTCAAGCATGCTTTGTGAGGGAAAGGACTTCATTGTCACAAGCTGAGACAAATGCAGAAATTGCCTTACAACATAATTCTAGAAATGTCATGACACCAACTAGTCCCTCAAATTAATCACAAATTATGGGCAGCCTCATCATAGCCTCTGCTGACTTGAGAAACAAAGTAAGTAACAAGATATTGTTCTAGCACCAGAATAGAAGAGACGCTTCTAGATGTTTGAGACTTTTTTTTTATAAATGCTTTAGTCCTTTCAGTTAGCAAGTTAAATATAATATTTAATGCCTGAAGTGCTTAATTTTGATAAAAATGTCATTTGCCATTCAAAAAAAGCAAGGTTATGTGAAAATAACAGAAAGTTAAAATGTTTCCAATTGTGTTGAGCTTAAACATCATTGTTTCAAAATGTTGAAACAAATAAATCAATGAATAAATAAAATAATTATGGGGAAAAGATATTACCTTTTTACTATTTTATATTTTAAAACTAATATTTATCTAATTTTCCTAATTAGTAAGAATATACACACTTCTCGCACTAGAACAATCTTCAGATTCATTCATTAATGGAACTTATGGCAGTACTGCCCCACAAAAAGCTCTTAAAAAAATGTTAAAAAAAAAAACAGCTACTCACAATCTCTTACTAAATAACTTAGACCAGAAATCTATCCTTTTCCCAGTGTGAATTATAATCATTGCCACCTCTGAGAGATTAGAAAGATATCGGGGCTAATATGTAACAAAAATAAAGAGTTGACCGGAACTGAAGTAAATTCTAATTATGCCAAATGTTTCCAAATTATATCAAAACCCACCCCCCCAAAAAAAACGCAGCATGTTTGTCATTTTTTAAATTTTAATTTCATTAAAACTAGGCAATTAATTTAAATTATGCATAGGTTTTAAAAAGATACAAGACGTCAAACAATGAAAACTCCCTCCCTTTTGTCTTCCCACCCCTCATCTTAACTTCCTGCCTGGACAACAACTAACTAGCGATCATGTGCAAAATTTCCAAAATATAATCTTTTATAGGTCCAATTTTCTGCAATTAAGAGGCTCACAGTATTTCCTCAAAGTGGTTCTGAAGTACCTGGCTTTGCAATAGCATCATTTACTCAAGTTCATTTTATGTTTACCTAGGGCTGTGAGATAGAGAACAAAATGTATTTACTTATTGCATATTTTTAGGTAGCCTAAATTGTCACAAATATTACAACAGCTTACTGTACAGTTGCTCACTTTAAAATGAATTTTGCATTCCATTCCACCACGTTTAAATGACAGCCTAAAAAACAGGAATCCTATACTCTGAAGCCAGCTTCCACCCCCTCCTTTTATGAAGGCACCCACTGGGGGAGCTTCCCAGGACTGGGATGAATTTGGCAATAAAATACATGCTTGAATATTATAGTGATTTGCTCCATAAACTTTTATGAGAAACATTTCTTGATCTTTTCTGATCTTTTCCTAGTACTGTTACATTTATGAGAGGCAGGTGGGCAGCTAATTGATATAAATGTTCATTGGCAAATTCAATTTACTTTCTATTTCTTGTGAGGTTTTATTCCATTATTATTCACTTAGGCTTGCAATTTAAGTATTTTTGTATACTTGTTTTCCTATATATCTCTCCACCTTTGTAACATCTATAATTTTAAAAAACTGTAATTTTCAATAAAGCTAAAGCCAAATCATTTCTGATTATTTCTGTATAAGTTAAAGAAAATATTGTCCATCATTTTGTAAACGTTGCTGTCTATATCTTTTTCACTATTCAACATATTAGGCATTCATATATTTAGAAGGTACCACATTTGTAAATGCATATCTAAATATTATCCAAACATTAAAATAAGTTTTGCTTATATTCATATGATGATTCATGTAAACACTGAAATGCATGTTTACTGAAATACAGTAAATGACAATTATCATTATGTTAGACATAACTTCTTTTATTGTTATTTTCTCTAGCTAATAAGAGATCTGTGACTTATTTAAAATAGCTCAAAAAGTACCACAGAAAACTTTACTTCTTATAATTTGAGTAATCTCTCAAGAACAAAAACGAAGAGTATTTATTTTATGTGTGTACCATATTAGAATATAGATCCATAAAAGGGCAGTGATGTCTCCTTTATTCCCCTAAATGGAAATTTGTAGATATAGGGCTTAAAGGTAAAAAAATAAGCACCCCCAGGATTTTCAATGCTATCTCATAATTTTATGCTATCACATAAAATCAGAAATAAAATTACTAGTTTTATTTTAATCTTTAGATGAAGTTTAAAACTTCAATAGGGTCATTTCAAATTTCTCAGAACAATTTAGAGACTATTCATTTTGAAATGTTAAGCATATAATTTGCAAAGTATAACAGGACTGACTCCACAGGTAGTATAATAATGTCAGACTCACTATTCCACTTAGTAATAGTATGACTTGGTTAAGTGTCTTTGCTCTATTATCCTAACATGTAAAATAGGGAAAATAAAAGTACTGAATTCATAGGGTTGTTGTGAGGATTAAAATATAGAGTTCCTGCAGAGCACTAAAATAATGCCTAACATACAGCAAGAACTGCAAAAGCCATCTACTAAATATGTATTTCTATACAACAACCCCAAAAGGATATTCCTTGGCTTTCAACTTATTTTTTTTTTCATTACTAGGTGACCTGTAAAAGTTTCTAAACACTGTAGTCCATTTCCTTAATTTGAGTGAGTACAGGGAAAAGGAGTACTGTGCTTAGTTCAGTGGCTGACATTGATTTGCCTGTAACATTCAGTAAGTCCCTCACTCACGCTGCTCCTCAGTTATTTTCTGTGTTAAATAAAGGAACTGGCTCAGAATTGTCAATAAGATCACTTCCATATCTAAAAGTCCATGTATCGATGACTTCTTCATTGAGTGCTCTGATGGTCAAATTTTTAAGAGCTCTTAGGTTTTCCTTTTTAAAATCTTTTATAAATTCTTTTAGCAGTATATTTGCTTATTATCTCTCTTGTTCTAATATACTATTAGTTCTATAAGAGAAGGAACTATTTATATATAAATGCTATATAATCCATTAAATTATGTGAAGGAAGGTGAATGACAACAGATGCTTAAACTAACTTTATCTCCAAGTAGCCTAAGTGTTGCATTATTGTAGCACTAAATGTGCAAACGTTCACTCTGCTTTTTTTAGTATTATATTTTGTCTTTGATGATGCCATGATGGCAGCATTATAAGCTCAAGCATCTGATCTCCCTGAATTCCACACAATTACACTATATATTTTTATTTTTTCAAGTCAACATAAATGTTGCAATACATTTAAAGTTAAATTGTATCTATTTCTCTTTTTTTAAAGATTTATTTATTTATTTTAGAGAGAGAGAGTTTAAAAGCACCATAGGGGTGTGGGAGAAGGGGCAGAGAGAGTCTCAAGCCGACTCCTTGCTGAGCTGCTGAGTGCAGAGTCCTACATTGGTTTGATCTCAGGACCCTAGCCAAAATCAAGTGTTGGGCACTTAACCAACTGAGCCACTCAGGCGCTCCTAATTATATCTATTTCTGAACGTCTTTGTCATACCTTTGCTTACTTCCTCATAGAAAATCAGGATTGTGTAATTTACAAGTTGAAATGATTAGTTTGAATGTAATGAGCAAAATCAATCAGCCTTTTATGTATGTTACTATGGGAAAAAACATTATATTTAATATCTAAAACCCTCAATAACTCTATCAGTTGTGACTCAAATGTTGAATATGAATCGTATTATTAAAGTATTGCTTAGTGGGTATTATATTTTCATTTCTGCAAAGCTTGAGGTAATGTAATAAATGAGGTTAGTTTGTTGTGCTTCTCACAATTAGCTGTTCCATAATCTAGGCCAACAATATTATATGGGGAGTATTTACTGACGTCCAGTTATTCTCCACACTTATTGCTTCCTACGCAGCATAAAGATCAGTGCCTTGTAAAACTAAGAATATGGGTCAACCAACATCTACAGCCTGCCTAAAAGACAAGAGACAAGTGTATATGCATTACATTGATCAAATCCATAATGTTTGGCTCCAAACTGAAACTTGCCAGAAGCAGAGTTTCTTGGCAAAACCTAAGAAAACCATTGCCTGGGAGAGTTCATATTGCTAAAATAAAAAATTGAAAACCTCTTGTTATCTAGAATTACATAAAGAAAAGCAAAACTATTTAGTAATAAACATTTTTAAGAACTTTACTGAATGTAATTTTATGAAAGATCTAAATATATGGATGCAAAGATAAACTATTTGTAAATATTGAACTCACTTTTTAACTAATTTTCTTCTGTTCCTAGCATATGTTAAAATTAAAATGAACCTTTGGAAAAGGATTTAGTTTTGTTTAATTCAAAGACAATTACTTACCAGTGCCTTTATAGTATTTTGTACAGTTACCATATTCAATATCTTCCTTTTTAATATCAAACTGAGGCAAGGCAATTTTTTCTAACTGAACAGGATCTCCTGACTGCCAGATAAATCGTAAGTCATCAGTTGTGTAGCCAACTATAAACAAAAGTAAATAAATAAAAATATTATTTTGAAATATAATTATTAATACTTTCTTCATATTTTGAGAATCCAGTTACTAAACACAGAAATGGTAAGATAATAAGCCATTCTCCTATGAAATTTTTGTTAAAAATGCAAAGAGATAAAACCTATGGCCATCAATGAAAACATTAGCACAAATTTACAGATAATTGACTTAAAGAAAGAACAAGCTAAAACAATGAGCATATCATAAATATACATAAAGTTACAATTTCACTGCCTCATGTAGAGTCAGCGTATTTTGCTATGTCAGAATTCAGAACTGTCATCAATAAAAAGTAATAAATAAGTCATACTAGCTTTCTGAATATATTCAGAATAGATTCATTCACAATTATACAATATGCTACCTGGAAATTAAAAAAAAACTTAAGCACCGAATCACTTATACTTTTGAAGAAATAACCACAAATTTCCCTAAAGGCATTGCATTGCACAGGAAAGCAGTAAAACAATCTCTCAAGTGGACATCATTATTAAATGTGGAAGCACACATTTTGGGTTTAGGTAATATACCGTTCAACTCTAGAGTATATGGATTTTTTCAAAGCAATACTTCAGTGCATCTGGCAATAGATTTGAACGTAAATATCCAGTTGGAATTTTTTACACAAATATATATTAACACACAGGCCTAAATATATACAACACATACACAAAAATGTACATACGTACATCTGTAAAATCTCAATTTATACTTAGCAGTAGAGATTGTTCAAATTTAGCCTCCAGCTTCAGTAAATTTTTTTTTAAAAAAACAACAGATAACCACAAAGTAACTTGAAAGCATATCATCTAGCAAGTATATATAAGATATTTTACAAGGCCATCATTCTTTACTTGTTGCTGAAATAGGTCATGGTATATAGGTATTCAGGCCAAGGCTTCCTTATATTAGTGTTAGTTTTTCAAGTTTTATGTCCTACTTTTATTTTCAAAAGATAAGCATCATAGAGAATTAATTGATAAGTAACAATTTCAATAATCATTTTAATTAATATACCTTATACCTTAATATGATACTTCTTTCATGAACTGAAAAACATATGATCATAGAAACACAAGAATTCCAATTTTGCAAAAAAATTTTTTAGACCTCCACAGAAAATGACTACTTGGTAGGATTTAGGTGCTGTTTTTTAATGTTTTCAAATTATCTGCTCTGAACATGTGGCTTTAAGAGCAGAACAGTTATTAAGATACTGTTTTCCCCTTTATTTTATTTATATTATCAATTCAAATGGCGATGGCAATTGGAAGAAGTTAGAAGTGTACACCTACATAAACTGATAGCAAAACCTAGTACCCAAAGGATGTGTCTACCTTAGTAATTGTTACAGTAAAAGAATAACAATAATTTTCCTAAATAAATTATTCTAATGACTATTTGTAATAAAAAGCATTAGTTTTACCATTGCTATCTAAGAGACTATTAGAATGTATTGCCTAGAAATTTTAAGCATTTTTATTGCTATAGTCACTTAGGGTCTCATTTACATACAGCTCTCCAGTTGCATCTTGCAACGTTGGGTATCCATCGGAAACAAGGTCAAGTCCAAAGGGCATGAAAGAGTAATAGATAACCTGAAAGTAGAAACAGAGGTCTTAGAAGTCACTTAATATGTTTCTCTGTGATAATCTGACTTAAAATATATATATATATATCTGTACAAATATTAAAGAATACCTCATGCTGACAAGAACATCTCCATCACGAAAAATAAAGAGAAGGATATTTTCCTGGGTCACATCATGAAAATTGGCACTTTTTTCGTTTGCAAAAAATAAGTCAGGTTTCCACAGACATTTGTACATTGTGGGATCCACCGTCAGTGCATCCGAGCCCCGAAAATCACTAGGGAGCTTCAGCCTGGGATCATTCCATTTCTGTCTCAAGAAAATGTTAACTCTATAGTCCTGGAAAAAAAAAATTGTGTGCATGTGTGTGTTTACTGCTATTTGAAAGAATATATTCAGCACCAGAATAAAAAGAGTTTCAGTGATAAGCAGCACAAATATTTTTAGTCTCCCACCATCAAACAGGATCAAAACCGCTTGGTCACTAAATATAAAGAGCCCCATGGGCAGTACAAAAAGACCCTTGTGTCTATTTTACAACTCTCTAGAGAAATTTCCTTAGCACTTGCTAGCTCCAACATCAAAATACAACTTTACCAATAATTGCTTCACCTTTATACAAATGCCAATTACACCAGTTTGTTAAGTGGTGTTATGGTAAAAACATGAGACTGCTAAATATTGTCATTATTCTTCCCAAAAAAAGTAGAAAGCTAAATATTGTCATTATTCTTCCCAAAAAAAGTAGAATAAAATTAAATTAAAAATAGATAAGAAGCCAAGGGAAAATGTTTCTATTTGCTTTTTACTAAGTAGCAAACTATAAAAATAATATACATATATATAACATATACATTATATAACATGTATATAACTATAACACACATACTTATATATGTATGTGTAAGAAGGAAAAAGAAAAACTATTCTTGACTACTCATATATGTACATGATTGTAGAGAGAATTTGAGATAGTCAAATGAGATTGCATTATGCAAAACAGATGAGCATATCAAAATTTGCATTATGTTTATTTAACTATAGTAGAAAAATGTTTTGAAATCTGCTAAATATCTGGCTATTTTACTTCAGTGTTTTTGTCTATCTCCAAAAATTTTCATTTTAAAACTTTGTAAAAATTAAATTATGTCAAGACATATATTTTAAGAATATGTGAACCTAGGAACATGTTCAATACCTTAATACATTTTATATCTGCCAGTGAAATGGGGTTCTGGCAAAAATCAGGTTGTTAGCATATACAAACTTAGCACTGAAGATCGTGCTCAGGTCTTTTGATTTTAATATTATATACTGTACTCAGAAGATGCACAAAAGTGCTCAAGGTAAAAATTGTTTTGGGCTTCAGCTTCCTTATTTTCAATCATTCAAGATTCACAAAATACTGTCTTACCCATAGCCTTTCAACATGATCAAAATGAATTAAATAATAAACTTCAAATCGAAATCTAAATAAGTAACTAGGAAGAAGTTATAGACCATCTTTTATTAAGTAACAAGAACAGATTTCTATGAAATGTAAGTGCACATGCTTTATATATGTATAATATATAAAATAAAGCATAATCAAGGAATAGTAATTGTCCCAGTGAAAAAGCTTGGACAATTTACTTTCTCACATTATCTTCAGACTCTGGATAGTAATTGTAGAAGGGTAGGTACATAGTAACAATATCCACATACTGAAGTATAGACAGTGAAATAAGATTTAAACTGCCTACATCTCATAGCTACTCTAAACTTAAGGTTTATAAAAACTTCAACATGTGTAATACAAATTGATTCTTAAAAATCACATGCAGATGGCACTAGAGTGCCAAAGTCAAATAAATTAAGGATTATATAAACTGACACCGAACATACCTGCACCACTGATAAAAAAAAAAGATAACATTTTCTAATCAGATGAACATGGAGTTAAGGTGGGGATAGAGGAGGCCTAGAACTCTGGAAAATAAAGAGCTGCATTGTACAACTACATGAACCGTCAAAATATACACCTATCTTAGAATTCATAATGGGACTTATTTGCTTCACATCTGACAGTGATTATGACAACAAGAATTAACTCATACGCGCCCAAGACAAAGGCTTATCTACATCACATGGTGAGACTTCCAGAAGACTTGATGTTGCTTCCTGATGCAAGCTTTTATCCATTCCAGGCAAACATGCATGGCCCTCCCCTTTAAAAGGAATACACATTAGGTTCAATTATTTTCTTTTTTTTGAAAAAAGACATTTATTTGAGAAGGAGAGAGAGAGAGCACACAAGGAGGGGCAGAGAGGGAGGAAGAGAGAGAATCTCAAGCAGACTCCCTGCTGAACACAGAGCCCCATGCAGGGCTCCATCCCGTGACCCTGATTATGACCTGAGCCAAAATCAAGCCTCTGATGCTGAACCCACTGAGCCACCCAGGCACTCCTAGGTTTAATTTTCTAATAAAATACCAATTACACTACCTTAGCTAAAGCACATGGTTGACATACTTTTGACATTACTTTTAGCACTTAACAGTATTCAACTTCAAATTATTTGCTAAAAAGCTTCCTTGGAGTGATCTGCTAAAATTACTGGTATTCTAAAATTACATACACTAAAACTATTTTTATTACCTTCTCTATGTACTGTGTCTTATCAAAAGGTAAATCATCAAAAACTACATCTTTAAACTGCCATATTTAAATTTACATTCACAATGTCATGATAAAATACATGTCCTTAACTTGCTATCAAGGATTAGTATGAAAAATAACCAGATGAGGTTGCTTATGTATCTTTTATAAACATGTTATTAAAGCCACGACTCCTTATTTTGGTCAATGACCATTATATGAAAATACACAAGATAAATTCTTCTTTATTTATTTAATTTTTTCATTTGTTTATACATATATTACTATAATATCATTATATAGGTGTTTACTATGTGCTAGGCATACTTAGTCTAAGCACTTTGCAAAAACAAATCTATTCCTCAGAGTTTATACTAAAAATACTTTCCTGATTCTCTTATATGCTCCCTATTACAGGAAAGCAAGACTGAAGTATCCCATCATGTTTTTATTTCTGCCTGGCAGCTAGGGAACTGAAGGCTAAATTCTATAGCCAATTGAATGAATAATTTCTCTCTCATATCCTTGTATGACTATCACTGCATGGCCCTTGCACATTTAGTCCTATTTCAGTTATTTCTTTGCATTTTTTTGTTATTTTGATACACGGCAAACCCTTGCCAGAAATAGAGATGGATGAAAAGTAAAATAACAGTTGAGGGATTGTCATATACTTGACAAGAGTCTGTCAGCGTTATTTGGATGCCACTTCTCAGAAACTCTGCCAATGTGGCTTTTAGAATCAAGAAGCTTTATTTTAGTCTAATATTAGGTTTTCTTACTTTAATAGAATGTTAGTTGTATGTTTAGAGATACAGATACCTAGATTAAAACTACTACATTTTGGAATGTATTCTAGTTTACATCTTAGTAACTAATTTCCAATGACATTATATTGATATTTTTTATAATACTCAAGATATCTGACAGGAACTAAAGCAATTCTAAGATTTAACTTTGGCATAATTTGCATAATTAAAAAGAAGCCACTTTCGGGGCACCTGGGTGGGTCAGTCGTTAAGCGTCTGCCTTCAGCTCAGATCATGGTCCCAGGGTCCTGGGATCAAGCCCCGCATTGGGCTCCCTGCTCCACAGGAAGCCTGCTTCTCCCTCCTCCACTCCCCCTGCTTGTGTTCCCTCTCTCACTGTCTCTCTCGCTCTGTCAAAAAATAAAAAATCTTAAAAAAAAGAAGCCTCTTTGTAATGTTTGGGGTAGAACTTCAGAAATTACCCCAGCATTAATACCGAATTCTCCTTAAAATCTCCATACATTGGGAGCACTATTCTGTGTTCCACAATTCTACCTCCAAAAATGGTATGGGTAACTCATCTAAAATTATACAGAAAAATTATTTTTCTTTTAAAATTTTAAAGCAATTTGAATGGTGCTTCTCCATGTGAAGTTCATTCTTCTAAATCCTTCTTAAAGTCTAATCAATATTTCCATCAATCCAAGAATATCTTTATATAATGCAAATCTTTATATTAGTTATCAAGTTCAAAGCATTTTAACCAGCCAAAAGCTGATTAAAGCCCAACGTAGCCCTACATAGTATCAAAGGCTTTGACAAAACAAAACCTATCCATGGGGAAAATTACAAAATTACAAATCATATAAGAATGTCTTAATGCCATTCCTTTTAAAATTCTATATATCATCATAATTTTTTATAGTCATATTAATCAAATTATAAAGTCTAATATAATGGAGTCAACATGGGCTTGGAAATATAAAGTTCCTGACTCAAGTTTCAGCTCTGAGTCTTAAAGCTTTTACCTTGAGCAAGTCTCTTAAACTATCTAAGCTCAATTTCTTAACATAAAAAAAAGGAATCTTAATTTCTAATGTGATAATTCAATAAAATGCTCAATGTAAAAGATTAATAGAGTACCCACTATAAATTAGCTTCCTTTCCAATAAACATCCTTGAGAATCTAGCTACAGAGTATATCATATACTTTCTGAAAAGGTTTTTTTAAATACCTCCTAAGTCCCTCGGTGATGGGTTGGCTCACTCATTCAATTCAAAAATTATTTATTAACCATATATTTTTTTCTATGCTCTGGGTACTAAGGATACCGCTGTGAGTACTCTCAGACTTCAAAGAAATAATTGTCAGTTAAATTGGCAATCAGTCAAATATAAAACAATTTGAAAAAGACTATGAAAATGGAAATAGATTGCAATGGGGCATCTAGACTCAGGATTAGTTGAAAGTAACCAATTGAACTGACACCTACACCGAGACCTGACGACAGGACAATTAGACAAATGTGGGTCTGAATTATGACCTATTATGTGCCCTAAGGCAAGTCACTTAACTTCTCTGAGCCTAAAATTCGTCAATAAAATTAATCTTCAATTATTCACAAGAATCAAATAAAAGGCTGTACCTAAAGCATGAAACCTGGGACAAAGAGGGTACTCAAAAGTTAACAAATTTATTATATGTATTATTAACATTATTACCATTATAGCTATTATCACCTCTTTGAAAAGGCTCACTATTACTATTGACAGCATTCCTTTTCTATTGTTCTAAAAATGCTACCTATAAGTTTCAATTGGTTACTGAACATCAAAACTAAGTGTTCTTTGGGTACTAGATGCAAAGACTATGTTAGTTGCTGGTTATACACAGATGAATACAATACAGCAGTAGAAAACAAAGCAATTTCTGATTTTAATGTTAATTATTAA